AAAAAAAAAAAAAAAAAAAGGGTACTGTATTTTTCGGACCATAAGACGCTCCGGACCATAAGACGCACCAGTTTTTAGAGAAGGGACATGAAGAAAAAAAGATTCTGAAACAAATAGTGTCCTAAAATATTTTATGTGCATTAAAACCCAACATCACAGTCATAAACACATGTAATCAACCCTGTAAAGTAAACAGCAGCATTTAGAACCATTTTAGAGCCGGGCAAGCACACACAGACCACACAGAGCCGGGCAAGTAAAAAAACTTTTTTTTTAAAGTATATGTGTAGGCTATATTTGGACCATAAGACGCAGGGACTTTTTCCCCCCACTTCTGGGGGAAAAAAGTGCGTCTTATGGTCCGAAAAATACGGTATGTTTTTATTGTTTTCAGAGAGGAAGGGAGATGGAGAATCATCCATCAGCTGCCTCCTGCACATTCCCTATGGGGGATTCTGCCGGCTCCCCGGCCATGAGCCCTGACCAGGAATCGAACCTCTGCCAGGGGCAGAAATAGAAGACTGAGGACCAGCTCTTAGTTACGAGAAATAAAATCAGAACTATTAACCGTGCTCTGTGAACCACGCTGGTTCTGTTCTGATCAGGGAAAGCGCATCCTAGCCTGGCTGGGAGCTGCAGGCTCTGGGCCGTGAGCGCCAGCATCAGCATGCAGCCCGTTCTTCTCTCCCCAGCTGCCCATCCCTGCGGAAACAAATGGCTGGAACAGTCTAGTCCTGGAGGCACCTGCCCTTCACCACCCCCAGCGCCCCACTGTGCGTGATCTGGCCCTGCGACACCCCCTCTTCCCCAGCCGCGTGGTTTGTAACCTGAAGTGATTACACCCGGCCCACTCCCCCAGGCCCGTAATCCCTACTGTCCACCCAACAGAAGCGGCTGGCTCATGGGGGAGAGGATGAGTACTTTTGTGGATGACCTGCTGCTCCCCCGTGCTGCCGGCCTTACTGGAAAAAACACGCACCTGTGATTCAACCCTGTCCGCTTAGGGTGACGGGCAGCCTGGACCCACTGGGGTCTGGTGTCACCTTGACCTCCTGGCTCAGGGGTCCATGCTCAGCAGCCGCCGGGCTATGCATGTTACATGTTACTTTTTACCCAAGCCCAGAGGTTTCCCTGTTTTACTGTCTCCCGTCTCCCAAGTCTGTCACCAATGGATGTCATGAGGTAGCCTTCATCTCCTCCTTTGATTCTGATGTATTCAGCTACGTGGTAAAGCTGCCACTTTCCCGGAACATTTTCTCAATCCGTTGAGATTTTTGCTTCCCAGCAATTGTCTTCCGTTTGGCTCAGATAAACTCATAAAAAAAAAATCTCTACAGACGTGAACACTGACAGTTCTTACAAATGAGTAAAAAGAGACAAAACCCCTCCCACATATGCAATAAATAGCGCTTCACAAAGGAAGACAACATGATCGGCCAATAAACCAGGATAAACGTCCCACATCATTTGTCATGAGGAAATGCACACTGAAGTCACCCTGAGTCGCCGCCACATATACCCCCGAAATGGCTAACATTAAAGACGAACATCCAAATGCTGGCAAGGATGTGGAGCAACTGGAACTGCGTACCCTGCTGGCTGGCGTGTCAGACGGCAGAACTGCGTTGGAAAACTGGTTGGCACTTGCCTCTGACCAGCAATTCCATATCTAGGTATTTACTCAAGAGAAATAAAAACAAAGTCTTGTGCAAGAATGTTCAGAGCAGCCGTATCCATAATAGCCCCAACCTGGAAACAATCCAAATGTTCACTGTCTGGCAAATGGGCAGACAAATTGCAGTATATTCATACAATAATAATGTAATACGCGGCGATAAAAAGGAACAAGCCACTAACATACTCCAGCAACATAAATGGTTATGCTAAGTGAAAGGAAACTAGGTACCAAAGAATACATGCAGTATTCATCCCACTTATACGAACAGGTAAAGCTCGCCTGTGGAGACGGGGGGTGTGTGGCAGGGATTAACTGGGAAGAGACACAAGGGAACTTTCTGGAAAGGTTCGCTAGGGATGTGGGTTACACCTGCACTGGTCAGCTCAATGAACCGTGCCCTTAACATCGGTGGATTTCACCACATGTGAATCATGCCTCAATAAAAGAAAAGAGAAAAATAAAAGACTAATTTAAAAATCTCTACTATAAATACCTAATTCAATATGCTTTGTTACTGGACCTAAGAAAACCTTGACCACTCCAAGGCAAAAGCAAAAGGCACAACTTCTAAAAGTAAAACAGTGAAAACAGGATGGGCTCAAACATTCCTCAGACTACCAACCAGCAGTGGGACCTGCTGGAAACCTCCTGAGCTCTCCTGGCCTCGGTTTGCTCATCTGTAAAATGGGAGGAAGAGCCCCGTGTGGTGTGACTCAGTTGGTTGGAGTGTGGTCCCTGTGAAGTGGGGGTGGGTGCAGGAGGCAAAGGATCAAAATTCCTTCCTTCCTTTCTTTCTCTTTCTTTCAAAATTCATCTTTCTTCCTTTCTTCCTTTCCCTCCCTCCTCTTCCCTCCCTCTCTAAAGAAACAAACAAAAAACAATTTTAAAAATGGGAACTAAGTAATTACTTCACCAGGATTATATAAAAATCAAGCCTATGCAAATCTAGCCTAGTACCTGGCACACTGCACTTTAAGAAATGGTGGTGGTAGGAAACTATTAGGAAATGCATGAATAATATTTTACCTCCCTGGCAATGGTTTATAAGTTTAAGAAAGAACCCTTCCAGGGGACTCTTATTGGCACATCTTCCCATCAGCCTCCCCTGTTTTTTCCTGAAAACCTGCCCCTCCTGATACCTGATGGCATTCCCGCCACCTGGCTGGTGAGAGGAGCAGGCGGGGAAGAAGGGACAGGTGCCTTCTTCTCCCTGGCCCTGGCTTACCCCTGTTCACGTAAACCACCGTTTTGGTAACCAAATTACATGGAGAGGGTCTGAGGAAAACTCTGTGTTTTAAAAAAAAGTCTCAAGTGTTTTCTGAAATAAAAAATACTTCCCGGGAAGATTATCAGTACGTAAGCCAGGTTTCCCAATAACGAGGTTCCCCTAATGTGTCATTCTTACAACTGCTGGGAAGTTCTCTAACCTTCCAAAGGGCCATGTATTTCCAAATGCTAAGATAAGACATGCACCCCAAGCACCCCTTCCCACAGAGAGAGAGCATGCGCGCCGAGCAGAGCCAGCAGAGAGCCAGCGGCGTGCCCTCCTTTTAGCACCCGGTCGGACCCTGTCTGCTGGCTCCCCGCCAGCCATGGGCTCCGCAGATTTACCCTGTGGCAGATCACATCCCGGAGCGTGCCTGCCTAACGCGCTGCCCTAGATTTTACAGATCGCACTCGCGGGTGGACTTGCAGGTCTGCAACGTGAAGTGTTTTCAAAGAGACAGGTCATTTGTATAAAATGTCTCGATGATCCATAAAAACCACAAAACGTTCTGAAGCCTCCTCCTATCTGTTGGCTATCCAGTCCGTTTTAAATTTCTGCAGAAGGATTTCCTGGTTTTTATTAGCCAAGGGAGGGTGGAGCCAAGACACAAGTTCTGTCTGCATTCGCACGGAACCATGGTGAGCCCCACAGACCCAAGGCCCGTCTGAAACCGCTTTCAAGGCCAACAGGTTCTACGGTGTGTCCTGGGGACGGACTGAAAGAAGCCAAGTTGAAACTATAACATAGCACAGAGAAGACCATAGTCCCGGGGACGAAATGTTTTGCTTAAATGGCACAACTACACCATTAGATAGTATGTGTATACTATTTATTTATTTATTTATTTTTTAAACAGCAACATGAATTTCAACCAAAAAAACTACACTGCTACTTAAAATTGTATTCTCACTCACGAAGTCCTCTGTGCTATCTTACTGCCAAGTGTAAGGTGTTTCCTCCCGATGCAGTGGTATTCACCCTCCATCAAGATGTCACAAAACCTAATGAAATGCAAGGGGACCCAACTTCCACGTTGGCGCAGCCTGGGGGTGCCCACCATCCCCCCCTCTCCCAGCAGGCACTGGGAGGGGCCCTCGGGTTCCCTCACTGCCCCCTGATGGTCACTGCTCCCATACCAACAGCTTCTTTAAATAGTTCCCACCTTGCCAATACTGGTTTGGCTCAGTGGATAGAGCGTCGGCCTGCGGACTGAAGGGTCCCAGGTTTGATTCTGGTCAAGGGCATGTACCTTGCTTGCGGGCACATCCCCAGTGGGGGGCGTGCGGGAGGCAGCTGATCAATGTTTCTCTCTCATCAATGTTTCTAAACTCTATCCCTCTCCCTTCCTCTCTGCGGTCTGATAAGAAAGATATAGGGATCACCTGTCGACAAGCAGAAAAAAATGGGTGTAACATGGCTCGCCCGGGCTGATCGGAAGGCAATCACAAGGAAACCCCTTCCTAGGGCTTTGCAACAGAAGTGGGGGGAGAGAATGGGGGGAAGGAAGTGCCCACAGAGGGGCACAGTGAACCCTCGACCACTTCATCTCGGACCCGGACGCGCGCCGCCCGGGGCCAGGTGCGGGCACGGAGCTCGGGTGCACGGGTGACTCACGTGCCCAGGCGCCCCAGGGCGCCGTCCGGACCCGGACACACACACACACACACACACACACACACACACAGCCCCTACCCCCCGGGGCTGGGAAGAAAGGCAGGAAAGCACGTGCTCCGCAGATAAGCCCCGAGGGCCCGGCCGCCGAGGGCACTGGCTCCAGGGCTGTGGGGCGCGCGCCCCCAGCCCCCCCGGGACCCCGAAACCTCCCCCAACGCCCAGAACCCGCCCCAGGCTGGCCGAGCCGGGCGCCCGGGGACAGGAATTAAGTTTCTAATCATGGAACTGGAGGCGGATTAGCGTCCGGCCTTCGGATCCAGCCAACCGGGGGCCGAGCCGGGAGCGGAGCGCGGCCTGCCCGGCGCGGGGCGGGGGCGGGGGCGGGGACCCGGGCGCGGCGCCTCCCCCGCAGGCGCCCCCGCAGGCGCCCCCCGCGCTCACCAGGTACGAGGCGCCCAGCAGGATGGTGCCGGTGCGCACATGGCAGCACAGGCAGCAGCTGTTGGAGTAGAAGCGCGTCCAGGGCGCGATCATCTTCATGGCTGCGGGCGCGGGCAGGGGCGCGGGCCGCTCGGTGCGTGCGGGGCCCCGGGCGGGGCTGCGGCTCCCGGCCTCTCCGGCTCCGGCTGCGGCCTCTCCGGCTCCGGCTCCTGCGGCTCCTCCGGCTCCGGCCCCTCTCTGTCCGGTTCGCCCGCTGACCCAGGCGGTGCGCGTCCTCGAAAGCTCCGCGCAACTGCGGGGCGGACTCTGCGGGACCCGGAGGAGGCGGGGCGGGGCGCGGGGGGGCGGGGCGGCCGGGACACGTGACCCGCGCTCCGGCCCCTGACGTCACCCCGGGCTCTGGCCCGCAGCGCGCGGTCCGGGTCCGGCCCCCTCTCTTTGGGTAACTCCATCAGGGACTGAGATTCTTTCTTTTTCTTCTTCTTTTTCTTTACAGAGAGGACGGGAGAGAAATAGAGAGTTACCGTAGAAACATCCATGAGAGAGAATCATCCACCAGCTGCCTCCTGCACACCTCCTACCGGGGATGTGCCTGCAACCAAGTTACATGCCCTTGACCGGAATCGAACCCCGGACCTTTCAGTCCGCAGGCTGACGCTCTATCCACTGGTTTCGGCGGGACTGAGATTCTCTTCCAGCCCCCCACCTCCCTCCGCCCCATGCCCCGCACCCATCTTGCGGATGATCTGCGGGTGCAGGGCTCTCTCTGCTGGCACCCTGCACCCTGGAGGAGGGAGGAGGGAGGAGGGAGAAGGACCTGTGTGATTCCGGGCACCGGCGGCCCCTTGAACCGCTGTGCGCGCCGCCAAGAGCCATTGGTCCGCTTCCCAGCTCAGCTCCTGGGCGGGCATCGCTTCCCAGAAAAAGGGATGTGAGTCAAGGGCAGCCTCGCCGTGCTTGGGGCAGCGTTTTTTTTCATCAGGGCTGCTGCCGGAAAGAAGCAGGCATCAAGCCCCGCGGTGGGAAAACTGTGGCTCGGGAGCCGCATGCGGCTCCTTGGCCCCTTGAGCGTGGCTCTTCCGCAACATACCACGGCCTGGGCGAGGTTCTGATGAAGAAGTGGCGCTACAAGAAGTTTAAGTAAAAATAAAATAAAAAATTGGGCTCTCCAAAGAAATGTCCATCCTTGTACTGTTGATATTTGGCTCTGCGGACGAATGAGTTTGCCGACCACAGATCAAGCTAATTGTTGCCACAGGGTCTCTGCAAGACACAACAGACCTTGAAGAGGGACTGCAGGACGGGACTCCGAGTTGGGGTTCTGGGTTTCTGTTTGTAAGCGCGCCTGTCCTAGAGGACCCTCCTGGGATAGGGTGAGGAAAGAAAAACGCAGTCGCTTTAGTCCACCAAAGAGGTTGAGGTGTGAGGGAAGGATTCTATTCTTGTTTGAACTATCCTGGGAACTTGAACTTGTGAAGAACGTTCCAGTCCTGCCTCAATGCCTGATACACATCAAACCTCCAGATAACCCCCTGGTGACCCCCGAAGGACTGAGGAGAGGGTATTCAGGTGCCCAGACCACGTGACACCCAGGATCCAAACCACCTGTCTTCCGGAGGGTCACCCTCCGGGGCCAGAGCACAGGCTAAGAATGCAGACTGCTTCTTCTCAAGAATGTGCTTTTGCCCCGCGAGTGTGGCTCAGTGGTTAAGCATGCACCCATGAACCCAGTTGCCCAGTCCATCCCCAGTAAGGGGTGTGCAGGACACATAAGATCCCTGACTCTCGTCACTACTGCTGTATCTGCCTCTCTCACATTCTCCCTTCCCCTCTCTGAAATCATTAACATATATATTCGATGTATATATTTTTAAGAATGTACTTTTTACTAGAAGAACCCTCCGCTTGTCTTTCTTCTTTGGAACACTCTCCATTGCCCCGTTGGTTTCCAGTTTGCAAACCCTGGGGCCTTGGGATAAATCTATCATTTATTTCTAGCAAAGCCTTCAGCCTCTTGAGTTTGTTTAACACCTTGAATCACTGTTTAGAGCCAAGCAGCTCAGATAAATTAGATGGTTAGCTTGTGTCAAAGTTTCATTTCAAACTTGGAGCAGGAGAAAAACTGGTTGGATTTAAATTCTTAAGGACAGGCTGTATAGGAAGGGAGAGGGATGGCAGATAAGGAAAGTTTCAGTGCAGGACTGGTTAGTTCAGTGGTTGGCAAACTCATTAGTCAACAGAGCCAAATATCAACAGTAACAACGATTGAGATTTCTTTGGAGAGCCACATTTTTTAAACTTAAACTTCTTCTAATGCCACGTCTTCAAAATAGCCTCGCCTAAGCCGTGGTGTTTTGTGGAAGAGCCAGCCACACTCAAGGGGCCAAAGAGCCACAGTTTGCCGACCACTGGGTTAGTTTAAGAGGCTGTAAAACTGTCCCAGTCTTATTGTGTAGTTTAACCCTGGGTCCACAGTGACCCGAGAAGCATTCTCAGAGGTATCAGGTGTGGGATCGCCATCAGACATACTAAGCAAAATGGTTCTGGGAGTTAGCCAGAAAGCCCAAACAAGAAAGTTGGCTTGCCGAAACCGGGTTGGCTCAATGGACAGAGTGTCGGCCTGCAGACTGAAAGGTTCCGGGTTCGATACTGGTCCCCCAGTAGGAGGTGTGCAAGAGGCGGCTGGTCGATGATTCTCTCTCATAGATGTTTCTAGCTCTCTATTCCTCTCTCTTCCCCTCTGTAAAAAAAACATTAAAAAAAAATTTTTTTTTAAAGTTGGCTTTTGTTTTGTTTTCTCACCACAAAGTTCTGTTTTCCTTTACATAGGGAGAGGGTTTTTTTCCTCTGGAATCTTCCATTTAATATTTGATTATGTCCATAACCACTTTTAACCAGCGATAGGACAAACATTTGTGCTCTGAGAAGAAATGGAAACTGAGAATCAGGATGGGGAGTGCCACTTTCCAAAGTCAGACTTCAAGCAAGTTCCCACTTCACCCTCCCCACCAGAATTTCAGTCTTTTAGGCGGATGACTGGCTGATTCAGGAAATGTTATATTTTAGCATGAGTGTTCTCTCTTGGCCGCGACCAGCATGGCTAGAGAGCGGATGAGTCCCGAGTAGGGGCGACTGGGGACTGAGAAAAAGAAAGAGACAGACACAGAGACAGTAGGGAAAGCTGGGACCAGGTGGGACACTTCTTGGATGGAGAGACAGTGACCCACAGCTAGTGCTGCATGTTTATTACATACAGCATGATCCCAGAGAGTTCTACTGGAGTTTAAGACAAAGAAAATTATGTGAAATCATGGTTAAAGATCAAGCTGCAATTCCTCATTCTTGTGGCTTCTTTGTAATTGTCACTCTTGGCTGAGCCTGGATAATTCTGTCCATTTCCGGCGCCTGGCTGAACTTAGGTAAGGAAACCCACCCCCGTGGTGCCTGAGCTAAAGGTCAGGCTAACAACATACCTCCTCCGGCAAAGGTGTGTTTCCAAGATGTGGCTCTGCCTACGCCACTGGACTCAGCCAACAATTAGCTCATGTGCCTTCCCAGGTGCTCTCTGCATTTCAGAGAGCTCACTATTCAAGATGCAAATCTGTAGAAAAATGTCAAGTTTCTCTAGATGAGAGGAGAGGCAGAAAGTTAAGAAGACCTGGCTGGAGAAAGGAGGTAGGCAGAGTGAAATAACACATGTGTAAGCAAAGTTTATTCCCTAAAACTTAATGTCAGTGGCTTTTCTAGCAGAGTTCCCTTTTTTTTTTCTTCTTTTTTTGGATGCAAGAGAATATGATGATTGGCCTTAAAACAAGAACAAAGGCTTCCCAAGGAACTCAGCGACAGCTGAGTCACTCATTTGCACCCAGCAGCAGATTTGAGTGGAATGCTGATTGCATTGGTGCAGTTATTTAGACAAGTCACCTTGTTTTCATTCCTCGGAGCCTCAGCTTCTGGGCTTCCCTTCCTCCTTTCCTCATCAGATTTCCCTGCAATTCGCACGCCCCTCCTCTCCCATTCATCACTCATCCGGGGGCTTCATTACCAAATGTTAACCCTCCTTACCTTTAGGATGTTAGGGCTTGCCACCTCTTTGTCACCCAGGTCCTTGGCTTTGTCTTCCTATCCTCCAGTTTCTCTCTCCATGCATTCTCCTCCGTCCCCCTTCTTCTGAGTTCAGATATTTTTTAATGAGTTGGAGAACATTTTTCTTCCTGTCAGAGAAAGCCACTCTCCTGCCCTGACCAGCTTGGCTCAGTGGATAGAGCCTCAGCCTGAGGACTAAAGTGTCCTGGATTTGATTCTGGCCAAGGGCACATGCCTGGGTTGCGGGCTCGATCCCCAATAGGGGGCGTGCAGGAGAAAGCAGATCAATGATTCTTATCCTTGATGTTTCTCTCTCCTTCTCCCTTACTTTCTGAAATCAATAAAGAAAAAAAAAATTTTTAAGCCACTCTCCTTCCTTTTTCAAATGTCTTGTTTTCCAGGAGTTATTGTGTACCAGTCTGTCTGTTAGACATCCAAATTACCCAACATTAATTTGAATGGCAAGAGTGTGTAAGACATAGAGACTTAAAGGCTACAAAGATTAGAGTCTTCTGCTCCTGCTCTCAAAGTGTGTCATCGACTCTTGTGCCCAAGTCATTATGACATTAGTCAGAATGTGTGCCCAGTATCCTTACAGGGAAAGAAGAAAAAAAAAAAGTGAGAAAGCAGAGGGATTAATTACATTAAAAGGGTAGGGAGCTGGCATCAGTTGAACCCTGTAAAGGGGGAATAAGATAACAGGCCGGGAAAGGGGAAGGCAGAGCCACTTGCTTCAGGAGTTGCACAGAGGCACACAGTCCTGGGCTAAGAAGGTCTCGCTGAGGGCCTCCTGGGTAAAGGCTCTGTCCCAGGAGACACCTCAGACCCCTCTCAACGGCCGAGGAATTCCAAGAGTTACCATCTAGCTCTCCTGGGAAGGGAAGGTGCGTTGGAAAGGAATAATACCTTGGAAAGGAACCCAAGTTTCTGTGCCAGTGGGGGCCACAATAATGAAAATGCTGCTCTGGCCGAAACCGGTTTGGCTCAATGGATAGAGCGTCGGCTTGGGGACTGAAAGGTCCCGGGTTCGATTCCGGTCAAGGGCATGTACCTTGGTTGCGGGCATATCCCCAGTAGGGGGTGTGCAAGAGGCAGCTGATCGATGACTCTCTCTCTCATTGATGTTTCTAACTATCTCTCTCCCTTCCTCTCTGTACAAAATCAATAAAATATATTAAAAAAAAAAAAAGAAAAAAAGAAAATG